CGGCGCTGCCCAGCCGCTAGCCCGGGAGGGCCGCGGCTGAGTGATGGGTGTGTCTGTGTGAGTCGCTCTCGGAAAAGGGCTGCGGCCGCTCGACGGGCTTTTCTTCTAGGCTTCTCTAGCCACCAAAGGTCGGGTACTGGCCCAGCCCCACCCTGACACCCCGTTCACAGCCCGCCACCGGCAGTCACCCACACAGGCCACGCAGATCCGCAGTATCGTCAGGCCCCTGCATCTGCTTAAACTTCCCCTCCCCAGATCCACGCCTCAACTTTCAACATCCACTTTAAGCTCCTGCCTCGGCGCCCTTCACATGCGACTCAGTCCTCCGTCTCCTGCTCTCAGCGTCCACCCTAACCCCAGCTCCCTCCACCCCCAAATCCCAGGCCAAGAAAGTCTTCAGATCTCAGCCTCAGACCCCAGTTTCTGAACTCAAACACACCCCCAAATCACCTCCTGCCTCCTTCCAGAACAGACCGAGAAGGGGGATCCAAGCCACTCTCCCTCATCCCCATCCTGATTCGGGTTGGAAAGGGAAGGTCCCCCGCCCCCACCCCTCAAAGGAGGGGGTTTCCCTTCTTAGCACCCAGCTCCCCCGGGGTGGGAGGGGGAGCAGTCATCATTACTTTGAACTGTGTCTGACACGCCTGTATAATAATCCTGAGGTGTCACTGAAAACCCAAATAAACTCCACTACGTTTTCATTCTGAATTCCTAATTTACTGTGAGATGCTCCACCCACCTTCCCTCTGCGACGCCAAAATGAGCTCCAGATTTGTAATTCTTCCTGTCAGACTAGTCCTTTCTTCAGACACAAACACAGCCAAGGAGGCTGGTACGTAGAACAGGGAACATTTTTCTGCAGAACCTCTTAAGGAAAAAGTTTTATTCTTTGTGTGATTTGTACATGAAATTAACTTAACCTTGACGGCAGGAGTCAGAACCAGCCTCTAGTAACAATTTGTGAATTACTTTGGCCACTAGGTGAACATTTTTCTCACCTGTTAAGACTTCCTTCTGGGAGCTGTCACGGGGCAGGGAGGAGGTGTTGGAGCTGGGATCTGAGGCCCGTTCTATTCTTCTGGCTAGGACATTTAGTTAAGCAAGTCAACTCACCGCTCTGAGCAGGCTCAGAGGTCCTTGCTCTCTGGACCTCCAGCAACCCCAAGCAGCAAGCTCTCCTCTTGCTCAGGCCAACTGATTCCAGAGAGACTGGCTCTGGAAGGCTCCAGGCCCAGTTTGCCCTCTCAGTTCCAGTTTCTTCGGTGGAAACCTGGTGGGCCTGTGACACCTGAAATTTCTAACTATCTTTTTGCTGCTCTATTTGCATGAGATAAGAGTTAATAAAGTTTTTTTTATGTATGAAATAATGAATGATTCCTCTCAGAAAGTTACCGTTTTTTCTCTGGCCATTAGCTTCCTCATCTCTAAAATGAAAGTAATAGTAAGTACCCCGTTTATAAATAAAAAAGATTGAATCACATGTCTTGGGCTCCTTAAATGACGCAATGTGTCTGGTACAGTGTCTGGAACATAGTAAATATTTAGTTAATGCCATTTCCTTTGCCCATCCCTTTCCAGCTTTGTATGATTCTAATCAGCATTTATGTTTCTTTAATCCAAGCCTTTGCCTTACAGAGTCTTAATAGTCTCAGTGTTAGCGTTTCTTCTATGACGCACCTTTGGTTACTTAACATTTTCCATGGAATTGAGCGTGTTCAATAGGAAACTGAGGAATAGGAAGGAGAATCCGGCTATTTGTAAGTTTTATCTTCCTGATATTAGTAGGAAATTTCCATGAGCCGTGGATCCATAAATAAACTACATTAGAATGGAACACTAAACTATAAAATCATAGTTCCTAAATTTTAAAGCATCTTCAAATTACCTGGGGAGCTTTCAATGATGTAGATTTCTGCATCTCTCTTGGTCCTAGAAGTCTGCTTCAGTTCATCTGGAGAAGATCCAGGAATCTGCATTTGTAATGAACACCTCAGGTGATTCTGCAAGTGGCAACAGGTCCACTTCAAAAGACACTAGTTTAGACACTGGTGTACTTCAAATTCAGTAAATAAAAATACATGAGCTTATTTAGCTTGTGAGAAAGGATGAGCAGTGGAAAGAAGCCTCTGGTTTTGAAGGCCTGCAGATCCTAGTTGGAATTCTGGCTCTGCCACTTTAAGATGTAGGTCTGTGAACACAGTTTGATCTCTCTGAGATTCAGCATCCCCAAGTGTGTAAAGTGGGATATTGTTGTGAGGTCTAATTGAGCTGTTGCACATAAGGAATCTATCATACATATTAATTCCTTTCACTGTCTCTGTAGGCCCCAAAAGGGCTACCTGTTGTTTACTCCAATGTCTTGATTTAAAATAGAAGAAACAGTTCCATAGCAAATTAGCTGCAGAGCTAGGACCATGAGATGCACTCCAGTGCCTTGTACCCTGCATAATGCTACCTCTCCATCTTTATGCTGAAGAAATTGCTTTCCTTTTGGATTATTTAGATGTTTTCTCCAAAATAGAGAGCAGAGGCTGCTAGTTGCCTAAACTATATCCATTCCTATATTCACTTTATAACAGAATCTTGATTTTCTTTGGGAAAACATTCACTGGGAGAAAAAAATTATATGTATATATACACTTCCCACGCTTTTTGCACATACTTATAGCCATGTGACAGAGTACTGACCAGTGAAATGTAAGCAGAAGTCTACTTTCCACAAGGTGGAGCTTGAAGGAAAGATTTTTTTTTCCCCATAAAAGAGACTCATCACATTTTTCTCACCTTCTTTCTGCCTGGAACACAGCTGAAATGCCTGAAGGTACAGCAGTCATCTTGCAAACATAAGAGTGATAGCCAAAACTAAGGTTAAAAAAGAGAAAAATAAAATCTGGGTCCTTGATAAATTTCTTGAGCAATCACACCAGCTCTTATTTCTTATTATATGAGAATAATAAACCTCCCCTTTTTTTAAACTTTAGAACATTTCAATTCTAGTCATTTCCCATCCTATCTATTGTTGTATATTTTATGTCTCTTTTTTTTTTTTTTTTTTTGTAGAGATGAGGTCTTGCCAAGTTGCCCAGTTGGGTCTCAAACCCACGGGCTCAGGCAATCCACTCACCTCAGCCTCCCAAAGGTGCGGGATTACAGGCTGAGCCACGAGCCCGGCTATCTTATTTTTTAACCTACAAGATATTATTGACTTATTACCATTATTAGCTCTTGCTGACTCTTAGTGCTCCTAACTGAATAACAAACCACCTCAAAATTTAGTGGCTTAGAATAATAACTATGTATTATTTTTCACGAGACTGTGGGTAGACTGGACCATTTTTCTGGTCTAGGCCAGTTTAAGCTGATTTCAGCTAAGCGCACATATGAATCTGCTGTCAGGTAAGAGGTCAACAGGGTGTTGAACAGGTCTATAATGACCTGGATCAGTTCCTCCATGTGGTTTTTCATCCTCCAGTGGGCTAGCCTGGGCTTGTTTACCCAACATCTCAGAGGTCCAAGATAATGAGTGAAGGTGTGAAAGATCACTTGAGTCTTCAGTTTAGAATTGATACCTCGGCGTTTCTGCTATCATCCCAACAGTTTGGGTATGAAGTGGGTTCAGCCCAGATTCAAAGTGTGGGGAAATAGACTCCATCCTTTAAAAGGAGCTGCAAAATCACATTGCAAAGAGGCATGAGTATCAACAGAAAATTAGTGTCCATTTTCACAAGCACTTGTTACCACTTCCTCTGATTTTTCTTTTTTACCTCTCAGACTTTCTATCTCAAACCACTTTCATTCTGTTTAAAGTATATCTTTTCAAATTTATTTTAATGAAAGTCTAAAAGTGGCAAACAATCTTAGTTTTTATTTGAGTGGAAATCATTTTATTTAATCCTCATTTTTTAAAAGTGTTTTCAGCTGCATGCAGTTGCTAAGCCTGTAATCCCAGCAATTTGGGAGGCTGAGGCAAGAGGATTGCCCGAGCCCAGGGGTTTGAGACCAGTCTGAGCAACTTGGTGAGATCTCGTCTCTACAATATATCATAAAAAAACTAACCAGGTATGGTGGCATGCATCTGTAGTTCCAGCTATTTGGAAGGCTGAGGTGAAGGATCACCTAAGCCCAGCAGGTCAAGGTTGCAATGGCCGTGAGTGTGCCACTGAACTCCAGCCTGGGCAACAAGAGACTTCAACTCAAAAAATAATAATAATAAAAATAAAATAAAACAAAAGTGTTTTCACAGACACAGAATTCTAGGTGTTGATAATTGTTTTCTCTCGACAATTGAAGATGTAGTTTCACTTGTTCCATTGTTGTTTACATGAAATCATATCATAGTCTAATGATTTCCCCTTTGTAAGTAATGTCTCTGCTCTCTGCTTTTTTTTTTTTTAATAGACTTTGTTTTTTAGAGCAGTTTTAGGTTCACAGCAAAAGTGAGTTGAAATTACAGAGAGTTCCCACATTCCTCCTGCCCCCACCCATACACAGCCCCCACTATGGAATCCTGTGCCAGAGTGATACATTTGTTATAATCAATGAACCTATAATGACACATCATTATCACCCAAGTCCACAGTTTGTATTTGAGTTCACTCTTCCCATCACAAATTCTATGGATTTTGAAAAATGTACAATAACATGTATCCACCATCGTAGTATCATGCAGAATATTTTTACTGCCCTACTCTCAATTACAAAGATATCCTCCTACATGTTCTTCTAGTTGTTTTATAGTTTTGACTTTTACATTTAAGGCTTGAAGCTATCTTGAATTAACTCTTATGTAAGGTGTGAGGTATGATTCAAAGTTCAGTTTTTTCTAAACTGACATTCAGTTCGGCTCTAACATGATTTGTTGATAAGATTTTCCTTTCCCCATTGAACTACATTGGATCCTTTGTAAAAATATATATGTAATTTGTATATTTGTGGGTCTATTTATAGACTCTCTTTTCTTTTTCATTGGCTTTCTTGTCTATATTAATAACAATATCATTATCTGGATTACTGAATTTTATGGTAAGTTTTAAAATCAGGTAGAGTAAATCCTCCAACTTTGTTCTTCTTCTTCAATACTGATTCGCCTATTCTAAGATGTTTATAGCTGCAAGTAAATTTTAGTGATAGATTGTCAATATCTCCAAAAAAGCCTGCTAGGATTGAAATTCGTTTGAACTATAAATTAATTTGAGGAAAACTGACACTTTAACAATATTGAGTATTCTTATCCATGAGCATGGTATATCGTGATCGATTCAGATTTCATTTCAACAATGTTTTGTAGTTTTTATTGGTAAGATTATTTCATAACATTTGTTAAATTTATTTCTAGGTCAGGTTTATCAAAGATTTGCCTTTATTTTTGCCAGCTGAACCACTACCAAAATCTGATTGTTCTAAACTAGATTATATAATTGGCTTTAGTTTTTTATTTGCTTATTGTTTGGAGCACACAGGTAATATAAATTTGGGCTTCAAACTACATGAAGAACAGTTTGTGTTTCCAAATTCTCAGTGATGACATCATTTTCTTTTATTGCTCAGTCCCAGTTTCTTACAACCTCTTGGTGGTTGATGAAGTTAGTAGTTATTTCTAGTTCACCCTTTCAGTAAGACTTTGGAAGCCTTATTTTTCACATCTTTATGGCAGAAGTGTCGAGGGGCCTCAGATGGCCCCTGATCTTTGTCTTCCATTTCCTGTGCCCTGTGAGAACAGACAACAGAAGCTCAAGTTCATCTGGTTCAATAAATGCCCTCAGAACAACAGCCAGTTGCAGTGTTCCTGAGTTCCTTCTTTCA